AGAAACAGTACAATCCCCACCTAGTCTATTACTGACAAATCAAGAAACAGTACAATCCCCACCTAGTCTATTACTGACAAATCAAGAAACAGTATAATCCCCACCTAGTCTATTACTGACAAATCAAGAAACAGTATAATCCCCACCTAGTCTATTACTGACAAATCAAGAAACAGTATAATCCCCACCTAGTCTATTACTATCAAGAAACAGTACAATCCCCACCTAGTCTATTACTATCAAGAAACAGTATAATCCCCACCTAGTCTATTACTGACAAATCAAGAAACAGTACAATCCCCACCTAGTCTATTACTGACAAATCAAGAAACAGTATAATCCCCACCTAGTCTATTACTATCAACTATCAAGAAACAGTACAATCCCCACCTAGTCTATTACTGATCAAGAAACAGTACAATCCCCACCTATCCCCACCTAGTCTATTACTATCAAGAAGAAACAGTACAATCCCCACCTAGTCTATTACTATCAAGAAACAGTACAATCCCCACCTAGTCTATTACTGACAAATCAAGAAACAGTATAATCCCCACCTAGTCTATTACTGACAAATCAAGAAACAGTATAATCCCCACCTAGTCTATTACTGACAAATCAAGAAACAGTACACGTTATGGTCCGTTTTGACAGTAAATAGTTTGCCTTCACAAAATGTAAATTTGCAGTCTTCAGTGAACAAGTTCCACATCGAGGTGTTTGAAATTTTACTGACTGATCAACCTTTTTTCATATCACTTTTATACAAAATTGGAAGATTTGCTTCTATAATGGGCATAATTGTACAGTTATTAGGATTGTAGGTACAAACAAATGGAAGAATGTCCATCTCTGTATTTGTTTCTTTTGTTTTCATAAGTGTCTCTCTTGGGACTTTTACTGCTCTATGAACAGCATTCTCAACTACCTAAGAAGATATGTCTTATATATCTATTACATATTACCTATTGGCACTAACTGTAACATCATAGGCATCATGACAACATAGCTACTACCGTTATGCTCCGCCTATGGTGCACATAAAGAGCCGTTGACCGGCGAAAGATCTTGTGAAGATAAAGTCTGAAGTTTTATATATAGATGTATAGATAGTTCATCTATAGATAGGCTTATATATTTAGTGTGATAATTTAGCGTCAGTTTCATCCTCAGTGTCCAATCTGATCCATGTAGAACTAGTTTAGCCCAGCTTCAATAAGTAGCCAACTGCATCGTGGTACTGGATTGCAGTCTATAAACAAACTATTTTAAAAGACTCTTTCGTTTATATTTCACCTTTACTCCAATATACCTTTACTCCAATATACTAAGCTTGGCTTGTTTTTTCTATCATATGAATACAAGAACATTCACTAACTACAACATACCCTTCTCTCTTGTCCTTTACTTTCTGATTACTACCTATACAACAACATAATTACTGGTCAATAGGAGTTTAAGGATGTAGTTCTTCTGAGAGAGCTGATGGGCTGTGCTCATTACATGCCATGTGGGTGCCCCTACTCAGATAATTAATCCCTGTAGTTAATTTGGGATGTAGTTCAAACGGGATGTAGTTCTTATGTGAGTAAACTATGGAAACAGACAAAAATGGCTTGTCAGCAAGTGAGTCAATCAAATGCCATGGAATGACTTGCAATTTGTTATGCTCCCTGAAGAAATATAAACATGACAAAGCAGGTATTTATTCAAACATCAATCCACCAACAGCCAGGATTTCGTAACAGTGACTAAGCCAAATAAAAAAGTTATGGTTCCAATTACACGACCGACCCTTGAATTCTGGTGCCGACCTTATTTTTTAAGCGGACTGTATAAAGTAAACTTTCATTTACAATCCTGTTGCAGGCCTCCAGATAATTTTTCAACAACGGGAGTACGTACTCCTTATTTTGTAAAGCAGGAGTACTGGAAAACCTTAAGAGTACATTTAGAGTACTGAATGGAATTCATAGGAATATCAGTAATCTGGAGTTTCGTTTCATACATGCACCGCAACATTGCTACTCTTGTGTAAACAACACAATAAACAATAAAACAATACCTTTTCAGATAAATACACCCGTAAATGATTCTAAGACCATACATCATTGCTGTGGTGCGTATATGCTGTTTTCTAAATTATTGCCTATTCTATTGTGTATATTATTTATCAGTACATACGCCAATATGGCCCTTATCTGGAGCCCTGCTGTTGGACAGATTCTGTTTTTGTTTTGGTTGTTGTTCAATGCGCCTTGAGCATGCAGTTGCGTGGATATGTGCATTATATAAATATCCTATCATCATCATCATCATCAATGCCACACTCAGAAATATTCCACCTATATGGCAGTGGCCTCTAAATAATCGAGACTGGACCAGACAATCCAGTGATCAACAGCATGAGCATGGATCTATGCAACTGGGATACAATGACATGTGTCAACCAAGTCAGCGAGCCTGACCACCCAATCCTGTTAGTCGCCTCGTACAAAAAGCATGGGTTACTGAAGAATAAGCCTAACCTGGATCTTCAAACTGAATCAAAGGGGACAAGCATGGCTTACTAAAGACCAATTCTAATGTGTACTGATGAAAAAATTTAACTCTGGAAAGTCGGGTGAAGGTCCATGGCTCCTACTGGCAAACAAGGATAAGTTGATAACCGACCTGATATTAGTGATAATTGACCCATAATAGCATGCATGAGTGCCACCCACTGGCGCTTGCCATTGTGAGCAAAGGGGATCCAGGTTGTCTGCGATCAAGTGTAGTGCTACACTGACAACGTGAGAGTCTTGTGAGCAAGGTGTTGCAGCTACCTGTGGAATCAATTTCATCGCCATGCACTGCACTAGCCTACATCTGCTCTACCTTTCACAAACCAAATTGCCGTGCACCGCCTGATTCTCGAAAAGCGTTCACTGCGCCGGTCCAACTTATTCTTGTTTGCCAGTATGTATCTGATCCTACACTATCTGAACCTCAAAGATTAATATTAGACATTAACACTGAAAAACATGAAACATGATGAATCAGCAATATCACAGATCATGATTCCTGTCTAACTGACCAAGTGAAAGAACTTTTGTTCAGTTAACTTGAATCATATCTGCACTATTATCACTTAAACATCCAACTTGTTTGGGTTGTGTGAATTTTTTTGACTAAATGGCCGAAGAAAAGTATGGCAACTGATCCTCTGATCTTACACCATGAAACCGCAACTAATGGCTAACAGGTATTTTATAACAAGCTGATCTTCCAATCTTCTCACTATAGCTACTGAAAGCTGATATATGCATCACAAAACACCATACTATGAACAAATGACGGAGGTTAGCTCTACATATGCCATAAATCCACTTCACAGGAACCTGTTTAACAACATGAGATCAGTGTGCAATGGCCTGTTGAGTCCTACATCTTTGTCTTAATAACCGCAGTTTCAATATATTCACTTACAGATGGAACAATACATCCTATTATTTATGTAATGACAGAAGTCCATGTACCCAAGCTGCATATCTGTACAAGAAGAAGAAATCAACATCACAACTATCCACTTCAGTAACAGTTTATTGCGTACAAACACATGAAATATCAACACACAGACATGGTCTGGTGGATAGGGTACTTGTCTGGCGAGCTGAAAGTCAACGGATCGTTACACTGATGGTGATACGAAAGATGGTTACAGTCACATCACCAGTGAACTGAAAAGACCCTGTCACACGAACTGTGAGGCACCTCCTGTGTACAGGCAAGGGTATATATAATGCCCCTCGTGTTTAGACATGACCACTGTGTGCAGACATATATGACCCGCGTGCAGACATACACGACCCCTGTGTGCAGACATGTACGACCCTGTATACGACCCTGAGACATGCGACCCCTGTGTGCAGACATGTATGCGACCCCACAATGCGCAGACATACCGACGACCCTGTGCGCAGACATATAATGCGACCCACGCAACATGTCGCCCCAATGCGCGAGACATGTATGACGCAGACCGATGCGCGCAGACATGTACGACCCTGTGCTTGCAGACATGCGAACCCCATGTACGCAGACATGCCCGACCCCTGTCGCGAGACATGTACGCGACCCTGTGCGCGAACATAATGCGACCCTGTGCGCAGACATGTCACAGACCCGACCCTGTGTGCAGACATACATGACAATCTATGCATAGACATATATGACAATCCTGGCTGGGGACACCAGAAATGGGCTTCACATATTGTACCTATATGGGGAATCGAATTCGGGTCTTAAACGTGATGAGCGAACGCTTTAACCACTAGGCTACCCCACTGCCCCTTAATCAACAACAAAAATATGTCAGTTTGGCTTTGTTTATGCAGATACACAATCTTTATTTGTTATGAAGTATACCTTCTCATTCATTCTTCGATCCTCCAACAGATGTTGAGCACACCAGACAAAGTTACTGGCCATAATGAGCAAATTTTGATCCACGAAACAAAAACCGATCCATATTTCAACAGTTTAAAAATTGTTATTCTGTATCCCTCTTAAATTTACTACACTAAAATGAATAAATTGCACAGAAATTTAAAGTTGCAGGATTTCAGAACAATTCACGTTCAAGGACATAGACTAACCATAATGCTAAAATAGCAGCTTTATTCAAAGTTGGTAATGACATCTGTAAGAAGCACCAGAGACCATATATACGATATATGGTCTCTGGAAGCACCTATCAAAACTTTGATAATATCATGAAAATATCGGATAATACCATTTCTCTCCAGGAAAATCAACGAGTTGCAGATGAATTCTCATATGCAAGCATGCATGAAGTAAATTATTTCAAGTAGGCAAGTTTTCATAACATCTACAAATATCTTTTTTGCAAAGTCATGGCTGAATACTATAAGCAAACCATGAGTTTACACATTTACTGTTGGGACCAACACCCACGCTGCTTGCATAAAATGCATGTTCATGGTCAACTGAGAACTTACCCCGAGTTGCTCGCATTGGTCGAAAGGATGCTGTTTATTCTGAGCTTATTGGCGATGTCCTTTAAAGTCTGTATTTTCTTTGCATCTGGTCTGTGGTATTCACTCATTTTGACAGTTGTCACAGGATACTTCTTCTCTATCCAAATTCTACAACCGAACTTCGCAGGCCGGTGTGCGCGGAATGGCCTTGACAATGAACCTACGACCCTATATGTTGAGTGCCAGCGCCATCTGGAAGGCGCGCCCGGGAAAGATAACCCCTGTCCACTGAGGATTGCTTTCACTCGTCGCCCACGACTCAGCGTTCGAATATTCCAGTTTACGAATCAGATATTCGTGGTTGGACAAAAAAATAACTAAAACACCCATCCGTTCTTTTCAAAACATAAATTGTGTAATAATACATTGAACGTATCGCTATTAAATATTTAGATAAGATAATAACATGGTGTTGTCTTTAATACTTTCTGTGGATGTGAAGAAAGTCGTTCCATGGTAGTATTAAGGATTATGGTTAATCTTCGAGGCAGGGATTTGATGGTACATGTACATTTAAAAGCTATTTCAACAGTATATAAATGGAATATTTTGGGATGACCACAGAAGTCGCGAATGACTTTTTTTTACTTGAAGCATATATTACTTTTTAAGCCCATTCTTCCAAGTATCATCACTGAAGACCAAAGTGCTTTATCATTGGAAGATACATAGGAGAAGTAACTATAGACTAAGTTATGACCTGATGGAACATACTGAAACATATCAAATCCCTGGACTACTCCTATTGATTGACTTTGAGAAAGCTTTTGACTCGCTTGACTTGAAATATACTCTCAATTTCTATCACTTTGGACCAGATTTGATTCAATGGGTAAATCTTTTCTATCATGCTATTGAATCCAGTGTATTGGTTAATGACTTTGCATCACCCTTCTTTAAAATAACCCGGAGCTGTCGTCAAGGGGATCCTCTATCGCCTTATATATTTTTGGTTTGTGTAGAAATCTTGGCCTTAATGATAAAAATAATAAGTATCTAAAAGGAATAGAATTGATAATATTGAATACATTATGTCACAATTTGCTGATGATACGACAATGACACTGGATGGTTCTGAAAGATGTCTATATGCTGCCTTAAATACAGTACAATTCTTTGCAAGATTGTCTGGGCTAAAAATTAATATTGAAAAAACAAAGCTAATTTGGATAGGATTAAAAAAGAGATCAAGACTAAATAAGACTGGATATTTGACTGGACTCATACTGAATTTACACTTCTAGGTATTCATTTTGACATAGATTTAGAAAGTATGGTTGAAAAAAATTATTCTGATAAATTGTCTCAAATTACAAAGAAATGAATACCTGGTCAGCACAACACTCGCTCCCTTGGAAGAAACACAGTTTTGAAATCACTCCTGCTTCCAAATTAAATCACCTATTTGCTTCACTCCCAAATCCTCATATCCAGATCATGTCTTAGATAAGCTTCAAAAGCTATGTTTTAGATTTATTTGGAAAGGAAAACCAGACAAAGTTAAAAGGGAGATTGTTACATCTCTCCCTAAACATGGTGGATTAAAGGTACCAAAAATCAAAGAGACAATTGCGGCCCAAAAGCTTGGATGGGTAAGAAAACTATTACAGAAATCAAATAGGTGGGACTATCTTTTTCTTAGAAAGATAACATGTGAAATTTACCAATGGTCTGCAGACAGCAATTATATTAAAACTGTTGTTACTCCAACCTTAACTAATCAGTTTTGGAAGGATGTGTCACTTGCTTGGGCTTGGTTCACATCTAAGCAAAAAGATACTATTACAAGTGAATTTGAAATCCAGTCACAGTCTATCTGGTGTAATGATGACATATTGGTTGATAACAAACCTATTCTGTATAACTATTGGTACAACAAGGGAGTTATGTTTGTATCTGACATGTTGACAGCAGAAGGGAATTTTCTATACTTTGATGACTTGTATATAAACTCAGAACAAATTTCCTGACCTTTGAAGGGGTCAAACAAGCAATTATTACATACATGTTAAAGATAAATATTTCACATTTTACAACATTAAACCGACATACAATTGTACCTATCACTGTCATACATTCACCGCATGTACAGGCTTTGGTCCCGTTTGATTTCGCCCTTTTCCCATGGCAGCTGTTACTGCCCATCTTGACACAGCATGGTGTGTAACTCAGATGTTGTAGGATATCCTTCTTCGTAGGAAGATATGACAAGTAACCTCTGTGGGAAGAGAATGGTGATACTGATGCATGTAATTTCAAATATTTTTACGAGAGTGTCAGTGCAACTTCGTAATCATTTACGAGAAGCCGGACTTCGAGCCAGAAGATAGTATTTTGGCCCTGTGCTGCGATGACTACATCAACGTCGACTATTCCAGTGGTGCAATAACGTTCTCGCAATCTACAAAACTGGCTGCGTGTATGGGTCAGTGCCGTGACGGGAGAATACGTGTCTATCGATGTTGACATGATCGTTTTGCACAGAATTATGTCGTGTCCAGGTTGACGATGACAATGGAAGTGTCATGATGTGGGGGGAAATATCCTACATGTCGAAATCTTACTTTGTGCACCTTCATGGAAAGTTAACTGCTATTCGGTACAGAAACGAAGTCTTAAAGATTCATACGGTTCCGATCATTGACCGCAAGAGGGAGTTGTTCCAGCAAGATAATGCCAGGCCTCACACAGCACATGCCACTGTTCAGTATCATCAGAATGAAAACATTACAGTGATACCATGGCCTTCCAAATCTCCCGCCCTCAACCCTATCGAGCATTTGTGGGATGACCTCAGCCCACGCGTACGTGAACGACAACCGGCGCCCCAGACGTTAGGGACCGTTCATAATATATGGCTAGGTGTGTGTGTGCGTGTGTGTGAGAGAGAGAGGGAGAGACCCCCCCAAAAACAAAAAATAAATTATGTACAAATTAAGTGAGCCCCTGCATGTCGTGTACAGAATCAATGAACCCTCCCCTTCCCATATTTTGTAAGCATAAATTTTTAATATTAATATATGTACAAATTGCTGACACCTCCTAGATCACGTGTAAAAAACTGATGAACCCCCTACCTCCCCAGAACATGGGTGACCCCTCTTAACAACCCCGCCCCCAAAAAAAAAGAAGAAAAGAATTAAATTTAAAAAAAAAAAATCGAATTCAAAGACTTATTCAGTCCATGCCGAGACGGTGCAGAATGAACGTCTTCTCTTTTTGAACTTTGATGTATCTATACATTGTATTGATGCACTGAAACGTCTCCAGAACTCCAGATAAGCTGCGCATTTGATTAATATTCGAAACTACATTTAAAAACAAGCATAACTGGTTTCACTTTGAGTTACTTGTGCACAGATACTCATGAAACTGAATGACCGTAAAGTAGAAGAAGCCGGGTCTTCGGGGTGACGAACGAACGCTTTAACCACTAGGCTATGCTACCGCCCTGTGTGTGAGTGAGTGAGTGAGTATAAAATATAACTACATGAACCCGGTATTTAACACAGTTGGAAATTCCGTGATCATCTTGTTTCAATACCGTTAATATGAACATACAAAAAATTCAAATGCATACCCTTGATACCCAGTATGACACATCAGTCTCTCTCTCACTCACTCACTCTCTCTCTCTCTCACACACACACATGCACGCACGCGCACTAATACTCACACGCACTCTCTCACTCCTTAACATACACATCGCTCTTGGTCGATCCATCTTGTATTAAGGCAAGTTTGACCAGGCTGAAACTGTCACCATAAAGTGTGTTGTGAATTTCGAATATAAAGGAGTCAACATAATAGATTTTAATTGGATGGAAACATGTGGAGGTTTAGTTACAACAAATATCTACCGTTGTTGACGTATAGAGAGGAGACAAAGAACTGCCGAAACGCTAGGATGCAAAGTACCAATAACATCCATCTTAAAATTATTTATTACTCAGAGGCCTACACTTACACAGCTTGCTAAGTTCTATAGAAAACAATGCCCAATGCTCGCCTATAGACCCGATATATGAACCTTTTAAACAGACGCCATGTATGAGTCAAGAAAGGCACACACGTTAATGGAGCAGACCTTTAAATTGTAGGTGTTCAGTCATGGGTTTCACTTCGTCATGTATTTCTAATGATCTCAGTATATTATGGTCCGATGTGACAGATATATACTCTCCCAAAAAAGAAACGCATCATGAAAATAGCAATTCCTTGTAGCAATGAATTAAAACGTGATTCATTTTACAAAAGGTTTTGCTCTGTTTATGAGTCCTATGGTGTTTATGTTTTGAAACATCACAACAAAACAGCATGATTTTCAATTTCGGCGTGTAGTGTCACAGATTACACAATTCACATGCAATGCACGTGAAAGTTGGGGATCAGATAGTCTCAATGATGGGTATAAAAGGTTGATCGCTGTCTGTCGATTATTCACTGTATTTGGAATATTGTTGACGAACGCAAAATGCCACGTCTAAGTGAAGCCAACCGTCATATCGCATTGGTTTGTTTGAAGCTGGCCACTCTCAACGTGCAGTTGCCCGACGCATGAATGTTCACCACAGCACCATTTCACGGCTCTGGGAGAGATATCGCCGGCAGAATGCGGTAGCAGATGCCCCTCGTAGTGGGCGACCTCGAGCGACCACTGCGGCGCAGGATCACTACATCCGGGGTACATCACCTGCGTCATCGAACAGCTACGGCTACCAGTACCGCTCGACAAATACCCGGATTGAGGATGCTTTCTGCACAGACCGTCAGCAACAGGTTGAGAGAGGCTGGTTTACGTGCCAGAAGACCTTATTTTGGCCCTGTGCTTCGACAACAACATCGTCGACATCGAGTTCAATGGTGCACCAACGTTTAGACCTGGAACCTACCGAATTGGCGTAGAATCTGGTTCAGTGATGAATCACGATTTCTATTGGAACGACGCGATGGAAGAATGCGGGTGTACAGACGTCGCCGTGAACGTTTCGCCGACGCTTGCGTTCCCCAGGTGGACAGATTCGGCCGGGAAAGTGTTATGATGTGGGGGGAGATCACCTGCCGTAGGAGAAGTGATTTGGTGATGATCCAGGGCAACCTGACAGCTCAACGGTACTTTGACGAAATCCTACGCCCACACCTCCTTCCAATCATTGATCGCTAGAGGGAGT